AGCTGGCAGGTTGGGCAAGTAACAGTTGCTTCGCCTATATTTCTGGAAGAATGTGCAAAACGTACCCAAACCGTTATAGCTGTGACTTTTCAGTCTGGAGAATGAGCGGCTGTACGCAAAGACTAAGATATTTCTACTGCGCATGATATACCGACTTCGGCATTGATGTGCAGATATTTTTCGATGTTTTTAGTTTTACTCAGTGATTAGCTTTCCCTGTCCTTTTCAAAACTCGAGTTACGAATCCTTCATGTTCAGAACGTCCAGTATTATGTCGCACAGCATGACTTTGCGGAGATCAATTATTTTAAGCATCTGTGTTCTGTTACCGTCATACAACAAAAAAGATAACCAATCATGTAAACCTATGCATATATTCAACAATGCTTCCGTACTGCCAGGAAGAAAGAAATCTAATTCATTAAAGATTTGAAAGACCTCATGCGTTAAAACTTGAGATGTAGCACTGAAAGTGACGTGGGGGAAAGGCGCTAACGAATAATGAGTGAAATACCTTAAAAGTACTTTCACGTACAAAAAAATATTTATGTATCGGAGATTGAGGTTATCGGAATCTTACTGCATCCATCATATCAAACAAAAATAGTGTAATAGTAAAATGGAGTAGCACAAAAAATACCTTCTGTGATTTAAGTTCAGTACCCAAGCATGCTTTAGAGCAGAGATCCAAGATATTAAGGTACTAACAAATCTGGAAGAGAAAAATCCTTGATTTAAGGTAAACTCAAGACAGCACAGATATTTTTTTGGTTTGAAGCTCCAAACGGCAGTCAAGAAAGCACATTCCAAGTTAGCCCTTGAAATCATGTATGGTATTACAACGGTTTACGAAGGGGCTTTTATAAATTTAATTTCAGAAAGCAATTAAGTCCTCTGATCCAACATGAAGAAATGTCGAAATTCCTTTCCTGAATTCACAAGATTTTTGTTGGATACACTATAGCAACTTGGATCAATTATGAAGGGTAGCGCTTTTGCTGTTATCAACCAGTTTTCTGTTGAAGGTACAATGCTAGATGAGCATGAAATTACACTGAACAGTGTGATAAAAATGAAAAAAGGATACTTTTGAATATTCGCATAGAGAGACTGCAGCTTTGCATTAAATGATCAAAACATAAGCCGGGTGCGTACATTCTGCATACCGAATTCTGTCATGTAGGACAGGAAAAACATGATCCATTAACACAAGAAAGTAGCTGTAACAAAGTTTCGTAGATTGCATTGAAAACTACTTAAACGAGCGAGCCAGGAATGAGTTAGATGTTTTAAAACAGGGATCCGTGTAGAAAACAATTTTTATAGGAATGTCAGATTTTTTGTTGGAATCCTACCGTATCCTGTCAAAATTCATACCGCAGCATAATGAAGCAGGTCCTGCGCGACGGAAGTATCACATGCGTGCTTTATAAAAGGTACTCAATGCTCAAGAATTAATTAAACAGAAAAGAAACCTCGATTTAAGCTATTCTCACCGAGTATTTGATCGTTTA